GTAATGTGGTTTGCTTGTTTATAACTTATCATCTCATGTGAACACAGCCATTATGAATGGCACAACATGTAGTTATGAACCCAGTTTAACACCCTCCCCCCATGGTCAAATATGAAAAAAACAACAAGAAAAAAATCAACTTGACATCCAACTTACATATTTGGCCGTTTTTATTACACTCACAACTAGAGTAGCATGCTATTTTGGGGGGTGGGGGAGGAAGACACCTAATTAACATTCACTCTGATTTGGAAAACACTGGCTTGGGGTCTAAGGAGGACATGCAACCGGAGGCCACGTTCTGCTCCCAGCATCCTGTTTGTGGCCCCAGAGTATCCCAAGATCATATCCTGAAAATTCAGCAGCAGAAAGGTCAATTTTCAATGGAACAATCATCTTGTCCCCTTCCCAAACATGGACAGGAACATGAGTGGGAGCCAAACACTTCCCATTTCCATCCTCAACTTCCATCCGCGCACACATACCATGAACACAAAACAAGCCATCAAAATCCAGCCGCTTTGCTGTAGAACAGTGTTTTTCAAACTTGGCAACTTGAAGAAGGGTGGACTTCAACTCTCAGAATCCCCCAGAAGCTTGACAAACACTACCGTAGAATGTTGGCACAGCGTTTGAGCATTTGGAGGACATCAGACAACGTTAAGGCTATAAGCAGGAGTAACTTGCCTGTCAGAAGGCTCTTACTCACAACCTCCCCAAAAGCTTCCCCCCCCCAAAAAAAGAGAGTGGGGTGAAGGCTGAAAATTAGCCCTGGCCCTTCTGATGATATGATCACTGTGCCACTGTGGAGAGGCTGAGTTATGGCTCACAGCCCTTCAAAGGTTGCTAATCTCTGGGCCAAGATGAAGAAATAAGGGGGGGAAAAACCAGCCAAACCTTATCACAGCCTCAGAGCAACACCACAAAAAGAAAAGAAGAAGAAAAAAAACAAGGACCCAAAAAAGCCACATTTGTTTTTAGAGTAACAGATTTGCAACGCTTGACTTTGAAAGCTGTTTGTCAGTAATGAAATCTATGTACAGCTAGGCTCGATTCTTTGGAGTTTCAGACTAGATCCGTGTGCCAATTTATTTGAAGCACGTTTTGTGTTGTCTTCATCTACCAGCCAATGTCTCAAAACACCCCCTGAACTGGTTTGCCATATTATCAGATTGTGTTTCTCCGTGAATGGGATCAGCACAATTCTTTTGTTTTAAAAAGGAGAGATGGGGGGGCGGGGGGGGGGAAGCAAACAGGATC